TTTTTTGTACCAGGAATTGAACTCAGGACCTTACGCTGCCAGGCAGGTGCTGTATTGCGGAGCTATATCCCCAGCTAAGGGTCTAATTTCTATGTGTCATAGAAAGAATCCTCCCACAACTTTTTTTTTTCATATACACTGGGGATTGAACCCACAGCCTTCACACAGAGTTATGTCCCCAGCCCTTCTTATTTTTTATTTTGAGTCAGAGTCTCACTAAGTTGCCCAAGGCTGGGTTTGATCTTATGATCCTCCTGCCTCAGCCGTCCAGAGTGCTAGAATTACAGATATGCACCACCTCTCCTGGCTCCAGTTTCAAGAGATGCCTCATAACACACTGGCCCAATTTTGTTGTAGAGATCACATATTCGGTAGCATGCGGCCCCTCCCCAGGCCTAGTTCGACATCCAAACCTTCAGTATTCTGCTGGGTGTGTGACTCAATGCTGCTGTTTGCCCCTAATCTGACTGTGGTCCCCGAGACCCATGGTGACCTGGATTCTTGGGAAATGACTTGGCGTGCGTTTTCACTCCTGCTTCCTCAGTACCAAGCCAGAGGATCTCAGCTCTGCCTGTGACAATTCCACACTTTGGTGAGCCTGCTGGGGCCCTGGCCACACAGTTCAGCTCTCTTGCACCCACCTAGCAGGGGATACTTGGAGCCAGGGCCAGCAGAGCTAGGCTTCTTGTGCTCCCCATCTCGGAGCACACACTGGTGCTCACACTTTACACCCCTTAGAGTGCCTCTTTCTTACCCCAGCTCCCTCTTTTCCTATTTACCACTGACAATGATTTGGATACATAGCTACTAAATCATATGTCTCAAAACTGAAGAAACATTTTTTTTTTTCCTAGTAAAGGGAAGACTATAGAAACTTCCACATAAGGCCTCCCCCGATAGACTCAATTATCTGCTTCCCATCAGGACAGTGACTAGGCCTGTCCTCATGGGCTTCTCCGCTTTCACCTGTTAAAACTCAGAATCCTTCACTCTTCAAAATCCATCTCAAATGCCGCTTCGTTCCCAAAACTCTGCCACAGACCTGCTCCCAGACACAATTTTGACTTTAGAGTCACTATGACACTCTGCCTTACATGATGAGTAACTGAGGCTTTGATAGCCTTTGCTGTAGCACCTGGGAATTCGATCTATATTAGTGAAACTGAGCCAAAAACCAATTGAAACCTTGCATTGTATAAAAGTTTTGGATGTTTCCAATGACGTAAAAACTTTTCTAAGTTATCTTAGAAAATCATAGGACTCACCTGTTCTCTATGGTCATGGACACCTGCCCTATGGCCAGAGCTTACATAAGCACCGACCTTCAGTCACTGGGGTCTGATCCAGGGTATAATCTTAGCCTTTGTTTCACATCCATAGTCCAAACACACAGAACATTGGTTTACAAATAATTATTACGCCCAGTTATTTTTCTACCAATTTCTGGTCCAAAGTAGACTTTTCACTCTTTATATTTTTGAAAGAGCACATTGGAAAGTAAATCTAAAACATGCTGAATTCCTAGCCATTTTAGCAAGACAGGCAGTTAAACTAATCCACTACCTTCACCCTTGGCAGTACAAACGTAGTTCATAAAAACTGTTCCTACAGAGAGGCCTGGCAGTGCCTCCCAGAATCCCAGCACTCTAGGTGGCTGAAGCAGGGGGACTGAAAGTTCAGAAACAGTCAGGGCAATTTAGGGAGTCTCTACCTCAAAATAAAAAATAAAAGAAGAGCTGGGAATACAGTTCAGTAGGAAGGCCTTAGGTTCAATAGCCAGTATCAAAAACTGCCAAAGTCTCTGTTACAGATGGAAAAATGCAAACATCACAGTGGAATTGGAAATGGACAGAGGAAGCTGGGGGTGTATGACAGTACTCTCAGCACTCTGGAGGCCGAGCCAGGAGGCAGCTGTGTGTTCAAGGCCAATCTGGGCTACATAGCAAGACCCTGTCTCAAAAACTTAAAAAGAAAATAAGACTGGTACAGTTATGGTCACTGAGATGTTAAAATCACTTAATTATATTCTCTCCATGGGTTGTAAGCTGAACAAATCACATATTACAAATACCTACAACACTTCTATTATATCTTTCATTTTATTTTTTTCATTTTTAAATTTTAAAATATATTTTTGATAATACAGGTCCAGTTTAAAAATACTTAACCTCAAGTTTCCACATTTAAAAAGAAGTGAAACACATTGGCCAAGCATTGGCCATGACTCATCCACATGGCTGACACAGACAAAGGTTCTACAGTCTGAGGTACAGCATCTCAGGATAAATCCTGAGGGGATTTCACTGACCTTATCAGACCCAAAAGCTACAACTCTTGTTGCACAGTTCCAGCTTTACCTTGGTCTTAACCATCCAGCAGAAAAGTATAAAAACAAAGTATAAGAAGTAAAGCCATGCTGTTAGGTTGAGCTGTAGGGGACTCAGGTCAACAATTTCTGACTTTGCCAGTAAAGCAGAAGACCCAATACTATTATGGACTACTGGACTCTTTTGGAATATTTTGCTGAGTTTACACACCTATAATATTTAAATGATGGAACTTAACAAAAAAAAGGGATACAGATGAATGTCCATTTTGTATCTGTGTATTCAAAGTGTTTTCATTTTTAAATTTTAAAATAGATACATAGTTACATAGGATAGATAGGTTAGGATAGATACATAGTTACATTCTCTTAATGAATAGAGGGATTTGCTCTAATGATGTTTGTAAATAGGATATCAAGTCCGCCTCTTGTACAGCAATTAACCACTAGGAAGAATGTATGCAATGTGTGAATTATTGAAACTGTCCTACCAATTTGGTTGGAAACTGTCTCATTGCTATTTGTTTCTCAATAAAATTATGGAAAATAAATAAATAAATAAAAAGAGGTGAAATATATTAACTACAAAATTATAGCACTTATCTATGATGGTCACATAATTCAGTAAAATGTTTAACATACAGAAATTCTAAAATATACTGAAACTATTTTCTTCACATTTGCCTTCACATATACCCAAAATTAAATTACACTCATATATTAGGATATAGGAATAGCATCTACCCATAGGCCCACAGAACTTGCTCGTGACCTGGAATTGTTAGAAATTTGACTTGCTATCTGTAGAAATTTTCAACTAAGTGGTTTGTCTGATAGTTAAATGTATCCTACTATTTGCAGCAAAATTACTAATACATTTCAAATGATGTTTTTCTGTAACAAACATTAAGGAATAACAATTTATTTTTTTGGTAGAACCCCGGAATTAAACTCAGGCCCTTGCACTTGCCAGACAAGTGCTTATTCTACTGAGCTATCTCCCCAGCCCCATGAATAACAATTTATTCTTATACTTATACATCTAATACTTTTCTTGATTTGACTACTTCAAGCAGTCATGCCATAAAGAATCTTGAATAATTAAAAAGTTTTAAAGAACATCTTTCATTTTAGCTAAGAGACTAAACAGCCACATCTTCACACAGGTAGGGACTGTTCTATGGAATTTGACTTACAATTGGTTACCTCAAAAAATGCTCATCTAAGGGTCTAAGAATCCAGGAAGGTTCACAAGGAACTAAGCACGCTGGTTAAGGTTGAAGTAAATTCTCTAGTTAATTCCTCGTATGAAAATCAGAGAGAGAGAGAGAGAGAGAGAGAGAGAGAGAGAGAGAGAGAGAGAGAGAGAACTTGAATGTGCACACATGCAGACCACCTCAGACCCCCTGGTCTTACCTGAAGCATTTTGTCAGGGCTCGGCTCAATGCCAGGTGGCATGTTACTTGGGTCAAACGCTATCTGTTCCACCTCAGCAAAGTAGTTAACTGGGTTTCGGTTCAAGACTAGCTTGCCAACTGGGATGAGAGGGAAGTCTTTGTGAGACCAAATCTGAAAATAATGTCATGATGACAATTACCAGCCAGCCAAGTGAAAGGCATTCAATGTACCCACAGAAATGCCAACTTTCAAATATAATCAAGCAGCAAAATAATACTGGACCCAATAAAATATGCTAAGAACTACTTCAAGTCAATGTATTAATTTACTCTCCCATAAGAGTAAATGGTAAATATTGACATTTTCCCAGAACAAAAGTATATTTGTTCTTCAGATTCTGTTCCCTGATAATGGCAATACCTGGAACCACCATCAGGAACCCACATAGCCAATGAACTTCTGGAGCAGCAGCACCGAAGTGACCTGGAAGCGCTGCCACCACTTGTCACCGCAAACTCTTAAGAAGAGGCTTAGTAAAGAAAGCAATGTAGCTGTGGCTGACTTACTTTGGTGAGATCAAATGGATTGAAGGGAAACGATTCGGCCTGCTGAAATGTCATGACCTGGATATAAAAGGTCCAGGAAGGGAAGTTGCCCTTGGCGATGGCATTGAAAAGATCGCGGATGCCATAGTCAGGATCTTCCTGGGAAATCCTTGCTGCCTCTTCAACAGGGAGGTTTTTGATGCCCTGGTCAGTCTACAGAATGAAGAAAGAAGATGCCACTGAAATTCCCTGGCCAAATTATCAGACTTGAATCACCAATTCATTGAAGGCTTATGAATAATGCTAGTGAAGACTGTACTCTATCACCACACTTCTGTTGAGCAAATCTGAGCCCAAAGAATTTATCAACGAGAACTTTTACTTGCTTCTCCTGATTTTTTGAAATGTCAAGGACATTCCAACACTACAGATTTAAAATTGAAGGATGATTAAACTGTCACTGGCAGCCATGTGCTCTTGCCTCTGGCCATATGTAAAAAAGACAAAAAGAGAATACTGAACTCTAATTCAGTAGCATGAGCTTTTTTTTTTTTTTTTTTTTTTTTGATGGAACCAGGGATTGAACTCAGGCCCTTGCACTTGCCAGGCAAGGGCTTGTTCTACTCAACTATCTCCCTGGCCACAGCATGAGCTTTTCTCACTGGGGTGGGAGCCAACGAAACACTCACACAGCTGGTCAACTAGATCAGCACTGCCCCTCCTGGGGTAGGGGAAAAGGGAAAGTGGAAGAAGCCTTAATCTCTGCTCAGTCCTTCAGGAGAAATAAGAAGAGGTAAGAAGTGTAAGAGGCTGGCCCCCTCTGCCCCAAGGGCAACACGTACCTTATAATGGAATTTGCAATAAACCGCCTCTCCATTTGCATTAACCAGCTTGAAAGTATGCGATCCGTATCCATTCATGTGTCGATGCCCATCCGGAATCCCTCGATCACTGAACAAGAAAGAAACCTAAGAAACAGAAACAGGAAATCTAAAATACCTCCGCTTTAATATCTCAGCTTATAAAGACATTGCTACACTTCCCAAAAATCTCTTAATCGTGTTGAACATACCAGTCAATCCCGTGAGAAATTACAATTATCATTTCATTATAGAAAACAACAGAGAATTTTAAAGCAGGATGATAGAGATCACTATCATCATGAATCTAAATTCAATGAGGAAAACTAAAACAAATCTGAAAAACCAGCCTATGGTGTTACTCAAAACAGGAAAATAGGGATTACTTTTCCCCTGTTTCCCTAATACATAGCTTTATCTCAGATTGGAGATTATGACCCTTGGTACTGCTAACTATCAACTGACATAGTTTCTCGCTATCTAGAGTCAGCATTTAAGACCGATATATAAAGACAAAAATCAGTCATCGCAAAATGCTTTGTGATCAAGAAATCTGAGAAAGCATCCCAAAAAGATGGCCAGTCCCAATGAGACAGACAACCCTGGCAAAGCACCTTGTGCAGCCCACAGAACAGCTCCACCCCAGGATCCACATCACATCACAGTGCAAAGAGCAAGCCCCCACCTGGTGCAGAGACTCGGGACGCAGGCTCCAGAAATCCCACACCATGTCTGGATCCTTCAGGTGCGTTTGAGGATTTCTCTTTTGGCTATGAATAAAGGATGGAAACTAAATGGAAAAAAAAAAAGAAATATTTTAAACGCTAAGTTTACAAGAATTATGGCAATTTACATGATATATTACCTTTTGCATATGGATTACAATTCTATAATAATATGATCTTCAAATTTTATACTGCTACACCCTAAAGTGTAATTTGCCCAGCAAATAAACTAGTATATATGACATTCTAAAGTAGCTTAAATATACTTAAATCTAAATTATCTCTTTAAAGAAAAAATACACATGTGTATACACACACATGCACACACACATGCATGCACACACAAACATACACTTCCCACGGACCTAAAGCTTGTAGAGATATCTTTTGACTCTAGGGAAAAGCCAGTCGTTGGACTGATCTTCATTGTTCTTTAAATAAAACTCAACTATTCCCCTTGAGCCAATAAATCTCAAAATGCCAAATCCAAGACCATTGGGAATTTTCCTTGATCTTATGAAATGATATTCAATGTAGAAAAATACATTTCAAGGGGCAATCCTCAGATGCCAACCAAGAGAGTCAATCAACATCTGTAGAGCATAGTACATGCTATCACCTACCAAGAAGGCATCCCTGATGAAGAAAATGGGCGTGTTGTTTCCCACAAGATCCCAGTTACCATCTTCAGTGTAAAATTTCACTGCAAACCCACGAGGATCTCGGACTGTGTCAGCTGAGCCCGACTCTCCAGCTAGAAGATTCAAAAGGGAAAACAAGGCATAAGGCCCAGCACTTTGGACTCAAGTAGCCAAAAGTCAGAAAGAAACATTAGGCTCTATCTTTTCCAATCCATTTCCTAGAAGTCGAATACATACTTAAATGTCTGGGGAATTACTTCTACTACCCACCAGCTAATTTGGCCTACAAATCAAACAAAAAAATTAATTGAGAGTCATAAGAGCACATATAACAACAGCTAAAACTATTATCCATTTGACATAATAACTATGCTTAAGCAGCTAATTAAAACTTCATTCAAAATAACGACAGAATTAATTATGGAGATTAAAGTTCTGGATACAGGCATCAAAATTGTGAGGTTAATATTAAGAAAATTAATTTAAGTATAGGTTTATGCTCAATCTCAACTATTCTCACATTCCCCCAATATTTTTAATATACACAAAGTCTGACACAGAAACCAAATTAAGCATCATTGTGATGTGGTGAGTCATAGTAGGACAGGTGTAATACTAGCTCTACCACATGAGAAAATCACTCATCCTTTCTGAAATGCAAAGAGGATCTACAGAATAATGTCTGCCAAGCCCCTAACCCCAGCTGCTATGAACTCAACTCTCAATACAGGGCAGCTGTTACATGACTGCTGAATGAGATCCCCACTCCACACTTCCCCTTGAGGCATCCACTATGGAAAGCTCTTTGCACATGTCACAAAACTGCAGCAACTGCCTCTGCATGCGGGTGAGTTCTGAAGACTCTGACAAACAGAACTATAGGTAGGGGTAGCCACATAGTTCAGCGGCTTAAAGCGCCTGCTTAGGCAGACGCAGGGACCAGAGTTCAATCCCCAGTGTGCCACGCCAATCCTGTGTGCTGAGACAGGGATTGAGACTGGACATGGTGGCATGCACCTGTAGTCCCAGCACTTGGGAGGCTGAAAACAGGAGAATCACTCCAAGCCTGATCTGTGTAGTGAGACCCTGTACACCTGTACACCCTATACTAAATACAAAAACAAAAAAAGAACTATAAGTAACTTCTTAAGTACTTCTATAAGTATTCTCCAAATATTTTTCTTTTTAACTATAACACCTGCTAAAATATGGGAATGTGTTTGTTTTCTAATTGCTAATAAGTCTTGCTCAAAATTAAGTTATAAGTGCCCCAAACAACATAGAGGTTGAATTATGCATTATGTCATGCAAATGAACTGACTTACCAACAGTGGAGAATCGAACCGCGATGGGTGTCCTCTTCCCAATATGCTCAAACACTTTGGCTTTGGAGTACTTGGTGATGTCATGAGTGACCTCAAAGTAGCCAAAGGCCCCTAAGTAGAAAGATACAGAAATCCTTCCCATGAGACCATCACACACACCATCCACCCCTCAACAGATAACAAAAAATTAATTGACGGTCAACACCAGCATTTTGGGAGCTTCCATTATGATAGAGGTAGAGAAGAGGTCCAAACACAAAATAATAAGAGAAAAGTACAAAACCCAGCAATCATTTTGCACTCAACCGAGCACTGTTCAGCTGGGACCAAGAAGAGGAGATGAGTGAGGCCAGGAATGGCAGGTCAAGGTTGACCCAAGGATACAGGACCTCAGTGGGCCTTGAAGTCCAGCTAGGGCCTAGAAGAGGAAAAAGTGGAACAGGAAGAATAAAAGAAAATATAGGGAAGGAAAGAATAGTTTCAGGAATTAACAAAGATACAACAGAAATCCAAACAACAAACTGAGTAGCTTATCAAGTCATGGTGGAAAAGGTACGCACGGAAAAGACTGGAAGAAACCTCATCAAGCTAGAAGAATACAGGAAGAACCTGGGAAGTCCTAATTGGAAGTCCAAGGAAACAGGGTATAACAGTAACTTTTATTCTTTCCTTCCAATGGAATTCTCTCTCCTACTGAGTTTGTAGCTTTCTTTTCAACACTATTTTCACCTTCTGTTTCCACCATAAAAGTAAGACAAAAGTTTTGGGTAAAAGGGAAGAGAAAGTCACCCACCAGTCTAACACCCAGTTTTGCAATTTATTTTATTTTATTTTATTTTGTCCAGTAAGAGTGTCATCTAAATCTAGTTGCAGTTAATAGTGTTATGTTTCTATACAATTTCTGTATATTTATTCTTTCACTGAACTACAAGGGAAGAAATGAAAGATTACTATTTTTAAACTGAATTATTTTATATATAGTGTTCAATCCTCGAAAACAAGATCATCACTCAATTATTAATTTCCCTATTAATGAAGACAATCTTTTCTCTCTCCTAACCAGAATGGAAAGTAGGCACTTATATTAAAGGTCCTCCAATATTTTGGGAAATAAATGTGACCAAGGTGCTGTGAAAGGATCTTTTGATGAGAAATAAAGGTAGCTCTCACCTGCTCCTTTAGCGTGCACGACTCTCTCTGGAATTCGCTCTCGATCAAAGTGAGCCATTTCATCCGTGAAAACCACATCCTGAACAACAAGGGGCCCGCGGGGGCCTGCGGTCATAATGTTAAGTTTGTCTCCTACGGGGTTACCGCTTCCCGTGGTCAGGACATCAGGCTTCTACATCAACACAAAACAGAGGAATACAGAAAAGTCAGTATAAGTTCTTCACTTACATTGTCACAGGCACATCACTTTTTTTTTCTTTTTTAATGTATTTGGTACAGGGTCTCACTACGCAGCTTGGACTCATAGAGATCCTGCTGTTTTCAGCCTCTTCAGAGCCAGGATTACAGGCATGCTCCACCACACTCAGTCTTAGTGTGCCCGGGAGCGGGGCTGGCACGGCACATGGTGCCAGGGATCGGGGATCGAACCCAGTCCCTGCGCTTGCCTAAGCAGGTGCTTAGTCCACTGAGCTATCTCACAGGCATGGTACAATATTTTGTACAGACTACATTTCCTACCTTTGTCAATGTCGTGTGTCCAAGGTACTGAAATACTACAACGCATGCCATCCTGTCTGAAACTTACAGTCAGCTCTCAAAAATGCTTGACAAATGACAACACATGTCTGCTAAGACACTTGCTCTACAAGCAGAAAGATGGCCAAAGAGTCTATCTGTTAGTGCTACTCCCACTCTGGTGAGAGCCGGGCTCAGCAATAGAAGCCTCACACACAGTGGGGCTCCAAAAAGGACCCTACGTTGCTGCCTAATGCTCCACTTGGAGCTTGCAAATGCTGCTGGGCTGTGAGTTTCAACGGACTGTACACCCATCTCTCCAAACTCTCCCTGCTACTTGCAACACCTCAGTGGCTTTTACTGTCACTGAAAATATCTTGTTTCTGGTAAGGGTGATTATAGTAATAAAGTTTTAAAGCTATCAAATGTCTATGAATTGGGATTGCTTGGTTTATTGTAAGAATAAACTCGTTTTGATCCACCCAACTCTCCAGTGTCAGTTACATCAGAAGCATGTCAGCTGTTCCTCCTCCGACATGGAGACAATGTTCTTTAAGTTTCACAAGGGCAGCTCTTCACTGCATCCTGTTCCATGACTGCCTGGTTCTTATGACCACAGACAAGTGCCTCTTCCATGTCATCCTTTAACCATTGGGAATCAAGAGAGAGAGCTGGGGCTTATCCTTTTATTTTTCTTTTTTAATTATTTTAATGACAACAGAGCCGACTGATGAAAGCCAACACCAAGAAAAGGTCTCTTTGTAGTATTTCCATACACCTGGAGTGGATAGGTAACATGCATTCTACACACACATCAATATTAAAATAAAGTTAACCATGCTTTTGTAGAAGATAATATGACGGGGAGAGGGCACTTAAGAAACCATAAGTGTCCTGTGAGCTGCTTGCAAGAAAGACACTGAAAAGAGATCCTAGGATTGGCAAAATTAATAAGCAAGATTCTCTCACAGCCACCCGTCACTCCACCACCGTCACTTTCACATCAAAATGAGGTGAGACCAATATGGCGCCATGGAGATACCAACAGCATCAAATGTTCACCTCCTCAATTACCGGCATGTAGCTCCTGGCGAGTGACGTATTCCCAAGTCTCAATTTGTCCTACAAAATGGACAAGATAACCACCTCACCCCAGGTGCTGTACACACTCCTTTACTGGCTGTGAGAGAGTGGCCTAATAAGCAGAGGCAGCAAAAGATTTTAAATTTTTCTAGCAATCCCAACAGGTAAGTACTCTTCCACCTGGACTCCCACCTTACCACCCATGTCTCTGCTCCCAGCGAGCAGTGGGGTCTTCCAAGCTCCCAGAAAGTGTAAGGGTCGGAGGAGCACTGACTACCCAGTTACAACTCTCTTTTGAAGATATATGTATATATATTTGTTGTTTTCTTGGTTGTTGTATATCTTGTTACTCTCTAAGACCACTACAAACAACTTAGCATGGAGTACT